CTGAGCTCCCAGGAATACTAAAAACTATCATGCTAGCCCATAATCAGGTCTTACAAATTTGTTAAAATTTTAGATGTTTCCTTCTTACCCACTTTAATGGCTTCGTTTCTTACTATGCTCTGCCAAGAGAAAAGAGTTCATGTGCTGCATCTTTCCTTGGAGGAGCTCCTCACCCTTTGGAATTCAGTTCACCTCAGGGTCAGCTCAGGTGAGGAACTCAGTCTCTGAGGGACTCAAAAAAATTATTATATTTTTTAGGTTGTACAGCTTTTCCCCCCATATGGTGGGAGCAAAATTCTTTGCAGTTTTCCTCATCTTAATGAGAAGCAGATCTCCTGCTTCTTTTTTAAGAAACTTTCAAACAATTTTAACATGCCCTGCAAAACCTTGCACAGTCATATTTGCTTATCTGTCCAGCCAAATCTTGTATCATCCTCCCCTCCTTCATTCACTATACTCCAGCAACAGTGATGTCTCACTTCCTCAAATGTGCCAAGTTTGTCCCATCCCCAGAGCCTTTGCACATGCTGTCTGCTCAGCCTAGAGTGTTCTTTCCCATGTCTATACCTCCTTAACCACAGTTCCTCCAGAGGCCCTTTATCCCACACCCCCTTTCCAAATTGGTACATAAATTACTTCCTCGTGCTTTCTCACAGCCGGACAATATCCCATTATCTGGATATGTTGTCTCCAGTCACTCCCCATTGGTGGTCATTTAGATTATTGCCAATCCTTGTTTGTTTTAACAATTAATCTTACCTGTGGGCTAGATTCCTAGAAGAATTACAGGTTTAAAAGGTACATGAGGACAGTGAAATAGTGCTTCAGATTCTGGGCACTGGCACCCGCCAGCCATGTAACTTGGACAAGTGATTTCACTTTTCTGTGCCTCAGTTCCCTCATCTGTAAAATGGGGATGATCGCAGTACCTCTTAGGTTCGTGAGGCCGAACAGAGCTGGTACATGTGTCGTACTTGGAACAGTCTAGCACATAACCACTCAACAAATGTCAGCTGTTATTATTAGCACTTAAGATTTTACACAGATAGGGGCACCTGGGTGGCTCAGTGGGTTAAAGCATTTGCCTTTGGCTCAGGTCATGATCCCAGAGTCCTGGGATCGAGCCCCACATCTGGCTCTCTGCTCAGCAGGGAGCCTGCTTCCTCCTCTCTCTCTGCCTGCCTCCCCACCTACTTGTGATCTCTGTCAAATAAATAAATAAAATCTTAAAAAAAAAAAAAAGAAAGAAAGAAAAAAAGAAAGATTTTACACAGATATTGACAAGTTCGTATAAATATGTTAACAATTTATACTCCCATCAGTATCGGAATGACTGTCTCTTCACACTTTCAACACAGTGTCTTATTAAACAACTTTTTAATCTTTACTAACATGATATGCATGACATCTCATAACAGTTTAATTTGTATTTGTCTCATAAGGAGTAAAGTTAAGCATATTTTCATGTGTTTAAGTGCATTTGTCTTTTCTGTGTCCTGAATGTTCAGCATGTTCCCCTGACTCCTATTCATCATTGGCCTCGTTCTTACTGATTTGTGTAGTTCTTTGTGTGTTCAGGGATTTAGTCTTTGTCTGCGCTGTAAGTTACTCTTTCACAGTATTCAACACTTTTCTGTCATTGTATTTACTTCTATTTTTAACGATGTCTTTGTTTATAATTATGTTTTAAGTCTCCATAGACCAAGTCCAAGTTTATTTGTTCATCATTGCATATTGAACACAAAGTAAAATACTGAACATATAATAAGTGATCGATACATATCTGATGAATGGGCCAGATATGACAAAGAGAATCTCATTACCTAAATAGACTGGAAAATTGGAAGGAAACTAGTTTGTACGAAAACATGATGAGTTTAGTTTTGGATATGTTGAGTTTTAGGTGACAGCTAAATATGTACAATACTCTTACTTTGGCAAGATACTCGTGAAGATTTTGGAGCCATCCCCATGAAGTGGTTGATTGGAAACAGATGATCTCTGGTGGAGAGAACGTTATGTGAGAGTCTATGGACAAATACTTCCAATCAGAAACAATTTCAAGTGATTATGGTTATAATAATAGTTTTAAGACAGATACGAAGTGAAAAGGAAAAATAGAAACATTATATATTTACAAGAATAAAGCAAATGAGGAGTGGAGAAAAAAATTTAATGCCTCGGAATAATAATGGTTATTGAAAAGTATTTAGATTTTGCCCAGATCACTTGCTGTGAAGAAATGAAATCATTTACTAATGGAAAACGGGGTCTAGCTTAAGCATACAAGCTTGTGTAAATCAAAAATGCTCTTTTTGTATAAAATAAGCTACTTGGTTTATCAGTATTGTGTTTTTCAGTTTATAACTGGACGGTGATTGTGTTTTCTAGTACTAAGCTATCACTAAGAGATTATTACTATCAATTTAGTCTCCAGTTCTGTTTTTCAGATTATAGTAGCTGCATGAAAAAGAAGAAACTGCAAGGGAGCCAATTTATTTATTTATTTAACCATTCAGTCTTCTAAAAAGAAATGCTTATTTTTTTCAGAATAGAGAATTTATCCTAAAATAAGCTGTGCATATTATTTAACACAAAAGAATCATCTTTATGGCTACAGTCATTCATTAACCATAGTGACTAAAATGAATATGGATTAGTACCTTTAATAAGTCTGTTTTGAAGTTATAGTCTTTGTTTAATAATTGTAAGAAAATAATCAGGGGATGCCTGAGTGGCTCAGTTGGTTAAGCATCTGCCTTTGGTTCAGGTCATGATCCCAGGGTCCTGGGCAAGGAGCCTGCTTCTCCCTCTGCTGCTCCTCCTACTTGTGCTTGCTCGCTCTCTCTGGCAAATGAATAAATAAAATCCTTTAAAAAAGAAAAGAAAGAAAGAGAAAAGAATCAGGGTGGGAATTCTATTCTGATGGCAGAGAGAATGTGTGGTATTCCAATGTCAGTCTCAATTTTTAAAGGACACTGTGGATTAAAAGGTACTAAGGTGTACGTTTTTTTCTCCTTTTTATGAAAAAAAAAATCAGTGATTTAAAATTCAGAAGGTTTTTGTCCAAATGATTTGTTTGTTCAACCATTATTATAGCTATATTATTATAGCTATAATGGTTGGACAAACAAATCATTTGGACAAAAACCTTAGTCCTATTAGAATGACTTTCTCCTTAACCTTGAGCTGTCTCTTTGCCTTATTGACTGGATAGTCTAGTATTTCTGAGCATTTTTATCACGAAAGCAAGATTCTTCTGTATACTCATGACGTTCTTCCCTGCAGGCAAGGTGGTTGTCCGTGATCAATGATCACACAGAAAGTGTAAAACGCAGAAAGTGTGAAAAAAGAAAATAAGCCTCCTTGAACAGGTGCAGCAGCAGATTATCGGGACCCGTGTGCCTGGGCATGTGTTGCTGGAAGAGATGGATACGGTTCCACTTCAGGGGCTTCTAAGAAGCCAGCCATTCGCTTATGCTGCCTTCCCAGAAACACTCATTTTTTACTTAAAAGAGGAACATTTATTCACCAAGAGAGCAAAGACGCTCCTAGGTGGTCTGTGTTCGACAAAGGATACCATTACAGAATTTTCAGCCAAGGTCTTTTTTTATACAACTTGTGTTAATGGACTGGAAATAGATCTAGAATAAAAATGTTCTTGTTTTCCTTAATTATAAAAGCAACTTCAGAACCGTTCTCAAGGAAGATTCTTAAAGAAGGGAATGGTGACAGAGTGATGTTTTATTTCATTCAAATAGTTCGTGCATTTTTTTTAAAGATTTTATTTATTTATTTGACAGACAGAGATCACAAGCAGGCAGAGAGGCAGGCAGAGAGAGAGAGAGGAGGAACGAGGCTCCCCACCGAGCAGAGAGCCCGATGTGGGGCTCCATCGCAGGACCCCGGGAACATGATCTGAGCCGAAGACAGAGGCCTTAAGCCACCGAGCCACCCAGGCGCCCCTAGTTTGTGCATTTTTGCTCAGCCTCATGCTGAGACTTAGGCGAATGGTAGTCAGCAGGCTATTGTGGTAGCTCAGTTTCTTTCCAAAGAAGTAGACTACCTGAGCCGTGGAGTCTGTTCTCTAGTGCATTAATGTAGATTACACCCATCAGTGGATTCATGACAAGCCAGGATCAAAAGACTGATCCAAACGGTCAATTAAAATCCTTAGCAACACGCAGGGATATAGCAGAAGGATAGAAACCATTGTATTCTAGAGGGGTGCCTTCCATAGCTGCAATATAAAAGTCTGTGGCTGTTCAACATGGGCCTGTTCTCTCGATATGAGGACACAAGTGTACTCATTTACAGAAATATGGCCAAATAATTTCTTGCTTACTTCAATCTGCATTTCTTTATAGCTCACTAACTACTCTCAATCCCATTAACAGAAATGAAAGCTAAGTTTAGCAAATTGTTTGGCCGTTTATGTTTAGTACGCAAAATTCTTAATTAACAAAATAAAATACCACAATCCATTGTAAATCACTTTGCTAAACTTTCAGACTTCACAAGGAATTCGGTCTTGTCCAGAAGCTACTTTCAAGCCCCTGCTGATCGGGCACTCATGTACCAATACCCTGTAGAGCTGAGCGAAAACATGTAAAGGGAGCCAATTAAGGAAATGTCGAGCCAGAATAGACAAGCAGGGTCTGTCTTGTCCATCCTTCTGCCTTCAGGCAAAAACCATCGCCTGCACCAAAAATTTTTGCTTGAATCCTGCTGACAAAAATGCTCACCCCATGTAAATGACAAGTCATAATCCAGTTAATGCAACTAAAGCAGATTGTTAACTGTTCCAGACTTATTTATTGTGTTCTAAAGATGCTGAATCTGAAAGCTCATCTGAATTGTTTTAATTCCTCCTTTCGAGAAAATTATTTTGTACAAGAAATGTACTCAAATAATTGTAAAGATGTGGGAAGTTTGCATCCAGGAAATAAAGTTATCTTTATCATCTTATTAAATGTATTTTTGGTTTCCCTTCACTCTAGATCTACCTTATGGGTGGGAGGAAGCTTACACAGCAGATGGAATCAAGTACTTCATCAAGTAAGTACAAGCATCTCAACCAAGTAAGCAATTTCCTTCACATCTGGAGAGAACCTGGAAGTTGCAGAATAATCAGCAAAACCAAGAAACCCTCTTGGAGGTTACAAAAATTAGTAACAAGAAATGAAGCCTCACCATTTTCATTTCATGTGATTTAAATGCTAATATCAGATATCGTTGGGTTGGGGGAAAACTGGTAATTATTTCAAGGGAAACAGCAAAAAGTTGGAACAAGATCACAGTCTGAACTTAAATATTGGCTGCCTGAATTCACTTCTGGCTAAAAGTATTAATACTTATGAGAGTTAATATCTAATGAAAAAAATCGACTTTGTATGTCTTAACACTTCTTAATATTTAATGCAGTAATACTAATAATAATCAGCATTTTTAATGCTTTACAGTTTATAAAGTTCATTCATTCTGCAAATATATTTTGAGCATTTGCTCTGTGCCATGCAATGTTCCGTGCCTTGGAGATCCAGTGGTAGAATATACAGACTAGTTGTCTGATGTCATGGAGTTCATATAGTAGTGAGGAAAGACAGGCCGTAAATAACTAACAAGATAAATGGGGCATAATGTGAACAAACCCTATCTCAGTTCAGAACACCTTTTGAGGTATGTGTGCCTTATTTTCGCTGTTTTATGGATGAAGAACATAAGAGCTTGCATGCAGGAGTTGCCCAAAAATCCACAGCTATTAAATTACCAAACCAAAATGAAACAAGATGGGATTGGGAGGGAGACAAACCATAAGTGACTCTTAATCTCACAAAACAAACTGAGGGTTGCTGGGGGGAGGGGAGTTGAGAGAAGGGGGGTGGGGTTATGGACATTGGGGAGGGTATGTGCTATGCTGAGTGCTGTGAAGTGTGTAAACCTGGCGATTCACAGACCTGTACCCCTGGGGATAAAAATATATTATATGTTTATAAAAAATAAAAATAAATAAAAAATGGCAAAAAAAAAAAAATTACCAAACCAGAATAGAATCAGAGTCTTTTGACTCCAGGATTCTTCTGTCCTGGACTCTTTCAAAGCTCGGTCTCTTTCAAAGCCTCAACATTAATACATATTCTATCTGCTGAACTGGTTATTAGTTTTACCCTGGACAAAGCAGACTGATCTACTTCTACTCTGTTCTGAGGAGCTCCATTCATGCCAGAATTGACATTATGAGAACGCAAATGGGAATCCCAAAGACCCTGAGACCTAAAAGACTCCCTTTATCGTCCCTTCTAGCAATGTACTCTTGTTACACATTTGGAAAGGAAAGGGGAGATAATGTCCTTGATGTCCTTTCAGGTGTGCAGGTATTTTCCAAAGAAGTATCTAGATTCTGGATGCCCAAGCTCTGTCACTTTACACAGGTTCCTGTACCTCTCTTTATCTCAATTTTGTCATCATAAAGTAAGAGAAGTATGGCCTACTTTATACGTCGTTAAATGTTAAGCTCTTAGCATAGAACTCTGAACATTGTAGATGCCCAGTAGTTATGATTAACTTGCCATTCGGAGAAGCCCATAATGAGGTGGGGGGGGCATGAAAAATCATATGACCATTGGAAACAGTGAGAATTCAAAAGCTTCATATTTTAAAAGATTTGAGGGAAAAAAACTAGGGATAAACCTGGCAGAGTGTTTTTGTGATATATTTTTTTTCTTGTGTTCTCTAGCAAAAAGTAATAAAACAAAGACATAGTTTATAAGGAATGGAGAAAGGGACTTTTGGAATAGAGAACCCAGGAATCCCATGCACGGATTACATGAATCATGTCTCTTCTGGAAGGAGATTTGTGCCCTGATACACTGGGTTAACCTTGTTGAGCTCCTGGAATATTTGAATCATGGTACTGTAGAGGTGGCAGGAAAATGAAAAACCACATTCACGTTTTCATTGGGTTTTTCACTCATATTAACTTTGTAATGATATATTTATTTTTTGAGAGAGAGAGAGCATGTGAGCAAGGGGAGGGGCAAAGGGAAAGCATGTCAAGCAGACTCTCCACTGAATGCAGAGCCTCACACAGGGCTTGATCTCATGACCTCAGGTTCATGACCAAAGCTGAAATCTAGAGTCAGACCCTTAACTGACCAAGCCACCCAGGTACCCCGAAAATGACCATTTATTGACCAAAACCTGATAACCAGGGATGTGTTAGGTATATATTTCTGTGCATTGTATCATTTAGTTCTCCCAACAGTTCAGAAAATGGACACCAGTTGGCTTTTATCAGGATGGTATTAACGTGGTGGTGAGTTGCATCCTGCCTTCAGCCACGCGTATCTCCTAGAAAGTCCCCAAAAGAAATGCCTGATCAAAGGAAGGCAAACATAGCATTCAATTATTTACCGGGGTTCTGGTTCAAAGGCCTTTAAAAAAATGTAAGTAAATGAATCTGGACCCTGTGGGGACTCCTTAGCCAGAGCCAGCTCTCAGTAGTATATACTAACCCAAAGCTGAGTGTCAGCACCTAACTAGTGCCACGTGAAGAAAGGATATCAAGGGCACAATCACTGACCACCAAAGACAAAGAGGGAGCAAGAGATGGCCAGCCAAATGGTGAGTGTTTCCCCTTGCCTGGTACCCAGCTGGCTTAAGCCACTGTGTCTAGCGGACTAGAACAATAGTCTTGGGCTGGGCTCCTACCACAAGGAAGAATAGCATCCAAGGAGGGGAGGAAAGAGAAAGAATAAACAAGCCATTTGCCCTGAGATCTAACTCATTATGTGTCTGTTGGCCATTTGGATGTCTTCTTTACCTTATCCATTTTTAAATAGCAGAATAGAAACTTGGTTCTAAGAATACTTAGTTATCTCCTGGAGACTAGAAAGGCCAAATAGTAAAGATAAGAAAAGCTAACACTGTACAGTGCTTCCTTTCCTTAGCCTCATGGAGGCACGGGTAGCTTGCCTGAGTTAGTTTTTCTGCTAGAAGTTAACCCCATTCAAGCACCAGTATTTATTTTAGCTTGACTATTCTTGATCAAAGTTTTACTTAATAAGTGTTACATACTCCCCTGCCTTCCTACAATGAGGCCACTGAACAAAATCTTTAGTGAGTTCTGCGGGGGGATGGTAAGCTATATAAACTAGAACGAGACCCAGCTATCTTCTCTTGCGGCTCCCAATGTGCCTGGCCATCCGCTTATCCCCATTCTCCTTTTTTATCTTTTACTCACCTCACCCTCTTCCCCAGGCATTTCTCATATGAGGAGGCCAGGACTCCAGACCATCAGACTCATGTGAATAGCTTGTGAATAGGTGTGGGCCTGCAGGGGTTTGTGTGAGTCAAGTTCAGGAGTTCTAGTGCAGGTAGAGCTGATTATAGGAAAGCCATCTGATACAGGGAAAGAAGAGCCTGAGCTTTGGATCTGGAGGAACTTGGGTCCAAATGCTGGTGTCTCCACAGGATAGCTGCACGACCTTGGGCATGTTTACTTAAGCTCTCTGAGCTTTAATTCTCCATATTTGCAGAATGGAGAGAATATTAGCACTTCATAGGGTTCTTGTCCAGAGCAGATGAGCTTATGTATGTGAAAAGCCTATCATAGCACCTGAGCCAAAGTACACACTTCCAGCCCAGTTCAGCCCACCCCACACCCTCCCCTCACTCTTAACATTCTGATGAGGGTTACTTCCTGCTCCTAGCTGCTGGGTTCAGATAGGTGATGTTGCCATGTCCGTAATGGCTGCATACACAGACATCCATTGTATGTCCTTCATGGAACTGTGTAGCTTTTTTGTCGTATTTTTTCATCTTCATCCTCCCATTTACCCCAGCTGAAATTTTGAGCCTGGATAGCCTTAGATTTTGAGGTAGGAGTAGTTCATTTACCGGGTAGATGTACTTTGGAGGCAGGAATAGCAAGTAATGAACTCAGGTCATTGCCTCTCTCACGTTTACTTAAAAAGAACAGGTTGAAATTGCCCTTCCAGGACACTGGAGGAGATAATGGCCTGTATACATATAATCTCTTCCCTGAAACTGACACTTGTCACTGTCTTCCCGGAAATTGAATTGTTCCATCTGATGGAAGCCAAGCCTCAGGCAAAGGAATAACTGTCAGTGCTGTCCCAAGAATGCCCAGACAAATATAGTCCTCATTGAATGTTCCTGCACATGTCCATTGCACACCTAATAATACTTTGTAGTCATCTACTTAAGTTCTCTTGCAAGAGAAGAAAGCATTTTACCTGGTATAAACAAATTTAATCAAAATGTTGGCATTGCTAGAGCCAGCATTTCACAGAACTAAAAAACATGTGTCTGTATATATGAATGTGTGTGTATATATGCATACAGGCATAGATATGCATATTGCCTCATTTTTGTGTGTACATATAAATACACACACACACACACACACACACACACACACCAGTGCATTCAAGGGAAGACTTCCATATTTTCTCCTTAGAGATTTGCAGCATTCTTAAATTTAGCAACAAATGTCAGTAACCGTGATGGTGCTATGATGAAATTATCTGATTTACTTAACCATTTTCCTACCCAGTTTCTTCCCTTTGAAAATGGTATACTATTATAGATTTACAGTAGTCCTTTGGTATGATTCCACTTTAAAATGTGTTATAAAATTTAACAAAATTACTATGAGAGTTATGTTTAGCAGTAAAACCTAATTTAATTCTTACAAATCAGACATTACTGCTACATTGCTTTCATTGTGTTCTTTTCTTTTGCTGTTAAAAATTCAGATTCACTGTGATTGATGATCATAATCATGTGAATTCTATTGCCACATGATAAATTTCTCCCAAATTTTGCAGCTTTTAAGTAAACATTTTCTCACCCAGTTTGAGAGGGTCAAGAATCCAGGTGTGGTTTTACTAGATCATTCTGACTCTTTCTCTCTGGGTTTCTCATGAAGGTGTGATCAAGCTATTAGCCAAGGCTAGGGATTAAAGAGTGCCTTAGTTGGGGCTGGTGTATTTATTCCAAGCTCACACATCTGGCTGTTGGCAGGAGGCTTCAGT